GCTTATCTGTAACACTCATCACAACACTTTTCACTAACCTGCGCGAGGCTGAGTAAGATTTCCCCTGATTTTTTTTCTGACTGGTTGGCTGTGGTCAGCTCCCCATTAGTTATCACAGCTTTTCAAGGCATTATTTTAGACCCTTTGACTTCTCCCATTACAGATGGATGTTTGTTCTGGGATACTTTTATCTCTAGCTCTCCTTCTTCAAAACTTGCTTCATCTTAGAAAGGCACAAATACGTTTCAGCTGCATGTGTTACATCTGGAGAAACCATTTCAGAGCAGTGCTTTTAAATTGTGAAAGGCATTTTGTCTAACAAGGAAAAAGGGTTCAAAGTTAGAGAAGAAGAACAGTTGGGAAAGTTTTTTAAAACACAAAGATAGGACAAAATGGATGCCACATCACAGACAAGGCTGTTGTGAACTGGAAAGTGAGAGTTTAAGTAGTCTCTCTTTCGTTTGAGGAATCACCCATCAGAAGGTAAAAGATCGGAAGAGACTTACCAGGGGCTGTGATCCCCAGAACTCCCAATTCTCCAAGTTTCTTCCAGAAGTCCTACAAATACAGAACAAGCAGTCAGCCCAAACTGGCAGTCTGGGCATCAGCATAACAAGTTTCCCCAGGTAGTTCGCTGGACACATCTGTTTATCTGTGAGATATCATGAGAATGAGGGATAATACCTGTTCCTCCTGCACTGCAGCTCCATCCTCGGAACTGAAAAACCACACAGAATTAAAGACTCTAGTTATGCTACACATGGGAGGAGATTGTGGAATTCAGTGAAAGTTCACATGCCTAAATTTAATTCTGTAAGGACACCTCCTAAGATTTAACTCTCTGCCCACTCTAAGGAAAACTTCTGTGTTAATCCATCACCAAAACCCTGGAAATATAAAGCATTGCTATGAGCTGGCACTTTGAAACTCTTCCAGTAAAACAGGAGCTGGCAATTAAAGCCAAGGAAGCCTCCTTGGGGGAGATTAAAAAAATGGGAATGTTACAGCCATGACAAAATGCAGTGGCAAAGAATGTCACCAGGGAGGCCCACACGTGTCCTGTTTCTTGTGGAACTCTTTTCCTCTGCTGTGTGGTGGACACATAGGTGAGTGCTCGTCATGTGGCCTCGGTGTCCATCAATAATTATCGGGGAATATCTCCAGAGACTTCAAGAAGTATCATACAATAGCTCTGGATGACATCTGGAATGCCAGGCTAAATTTATACACTTCACTTCAAAGCTGCGCATATATCCCTGGAAATGTCAACATCAGAACTGTGGGAAATCCTAGCAGATGTTTAGAGCTTTTTGAGTCTTGTGGAGTCTATAAAAAAACAATAGTCAGATCTCTCATTCCCATCAATCAAAGTACCCCATGGCACAAAATTTGTTGGGTTTATTAAAAAAGCAAGTTTCAGCTCAACAGTCAAACTCCACATTTCAACATTTGCACACAATATTTTCACAGCAAACCTGAGAGGAAATTCATGTCCAAGAAAGGGATTGAGCCAGGAGTATACAAAGCACATGTTGGGGAAGGAGCCAGAACAGACAGGCAGAAATCTCATGATAAGAATCCAAACGAGACCATTATCAATCTTTATTATGACTATTAGAGCTGGGTTCTGCCCCAGGTTGCTAAAAGTTGGTAACAAATGATAAAACAGGAAATCAAAAAAAGGTTTTCTCTGTGGCTTTTAAGTTTGAAAAGTTAATGCATATGTTCCTGTGGTGTGGCTTGGGATTGTCTGGACTGATGCAGAGATCAAAGCCCGAGAGGCTTTCAGAACCACACATGAAATACTTGCCCGCATGCCTTTGAATTCGTTTTCCTGGTCAATCTGTTGGGCCTTTGGAGCCAAATGCTCTTGGCAGAACTTTGTCATGGTCTGTCTAAGCTGAGAAAAGAGGGGAGGAAAAACACATCCGTTACATCTCAGTGATGTATAGTTGTCTTCTTTCCCTGGATCCTGCCAGCATTCCCTCACCAGGCCACTCCAGCAACCCAAACCCATAAGCACAAGACCATAAGGAAACCCATTGATCAGGTTACTGGCTGAAATACCACATGAAAGGGGCATTTCTTTAGTCTTTTAAAAAGGAGCTGATGTACTTTAGTCCCTCTCAGCATTTAACCTCAATTGTACCCTGACATGAGAGAATGTTCCTGAACTCCTGCCTGCACTGGGGTTTCGGGCATATTTTTGAGCAGGGAACCTTGGAAGTTGATGAACTGAGTTTAAAATGTGCTAAACCCATCCAGTAGCTGCTTACAGCATCATTTAATTATGTGCAGATGCCTGTAATAAGCAGAGACAGATATTAAAATTACACTAATTATGTGTTAAACTGGAACTACATTATCTACCTTACTACCTTCTACATTGTGGAAATTTGATAGAGCCAGGAATGTTCATTGATCCAAGTGTTAAAAATCCAAAATATTTTTCTTAATTGTAAACTCTGAACACTTACATACATGTATGTTACAGAAGCCTATATGCATACTAACAAAATATATACAGTATATATACAGTATCTTAAATGTTTTTAACAGGAAGATTTAAAAACTTGGTCTGGATCTTATGGCAGAGTTTAATAATCCATTTTTTTTTCCCCTTTTTGATTCTTTATTCCCACACATTAATTCTGGTGAAGCAACAATTTTAAAGACTTAAATCCTGAGCTGTTAAACCAGAACCTGTATATTGGGCAGGAGCAACATACCTGAATATGCCCACACTCCTCTGCATTTCTCTGAGCCCCAAAACCTAAGCATCCTCTTTTTTACACTTGAGAAGCTATGTTAAATTTCCAGTCACATAGACTCTGGATGCCAGTACTACCAAACAAACTTTCTCCCCACTGCTAGATTTAGAAACTTAAAAAGAACCCCAAAAGCCATTAGATATCTTGCCACTGTGACAAAGCTGACTGCATTATACTCCAGCAAAAAGCTTAAAATAAATTAAAACAAGCTTAAAACAACAACAATAATAATAAAATCTTAATCAGAGATTGAGGATGGACTCATGGACTCAAGACAGGCAGCCCTGATACCCTAAGCCAGTTTATAACAGTTGTATTGCTTTTAATTCACAGTTTCACTAATACTCCTGATTATTTCTGATTTTTTTTTTTTTAGCTTTTCCACCAGACAGATAGGAACAAGAGGAATATTTTACGCCTTCTTTTACATCTGCTGAATATAGAAGTACAAATAAACATCAATTCAAGCTGATAAGACCATAAACATTGACACACACGTGACAAGGAATAATTCTGTAGCAAGAAAGAAGAACAAATAAGTTTATTTAGCAGATCTATATGCCTGCACTATCAGAATTATCTGGAAAGTGAGGCTGTAGCTCCAGTGTTTCATTGACAGGAGCCTGTGTGGAGCAGCCCTGGGAAGACACTGCCCTTCACTCCAATCGCTGGGGCAGAAGGGAACACATCTGGAATGGTCAGCATTTGGCTGATGTTGCACACAGAAAAACACAGCAAAGCTAAGGATCATAGAATCACAGAACATTCCAAGCTAGAAGGGACCCACAAGGATCATCAGTCTGTTGGAAATGACTTAACTCCCAATTTTTCATTAGCTGTTTTAAATTGGAAGCATGCCTACTTGTAGTCAGCACTAGTTAAGTTTCTTTTCCACAGACACTTGATACTTTGATCATTAAATCACTGAAACCTTAAATTTGCTAAAACTAATCCTGAGAAGCTCCAATAAACAAAGCCCGAGGGAGCTGAAGATTGGACACTTGGGATCTTCAATTTATGGCCCTTCAAAGACATGTTGGAGTAACCAGAAGACACAGAGGAGACTGAAGCTTAGAAAGTTGGAAACTCCCCATTTGAGAAAAAGTTATAAAAGGACTAAAGAAAGTGGGCCAGATTAGCATGAAGAGCAAGAAATCAATAACCAATAGAGGACAGAATACTAATTAATAAAGAGAATGATGCAACTTAGAACCAATAAACATTATTTTGTTTGCTAAAAACACGTAAGTGAAAACTTTTGTGTCTTGGTTTGGTGTGAAGGTCAGAAATTTGTCAGCCACACAAACACTAACGACAGTGTTAGAGTCCTACTTTTCCCAGCATTTTTAGAGGTTTTCGGTAACAAGTCCAACTCCCAGCCCTGCTATTCCCAACTATCTCACCCCGTGCCTGAGAGCGTTGTCCAAATGCTTCTCTGGCAGCCTTGGTGCTGTGACCATTCCCTGGGGAGCTGTTCCAGTGCCCAACCACCCTCTGGAGGAAGAGCCTTTTCCCAATACCCAGCCTAAACCTCCCCTGACCCAGCTGTTGCCTTCCCCTGGGTTCCTGTGACTGGTCACCAAAACAGAGACTCGTTGCCCCATGCAGGAAAGCCACAACCTGCAATGAGTTCTAAGAACCATCCTAAATCTTCAAGCGCCCCATTGGGCTGTACAAGCTGGGAGAGCTGCGACACTTCTTTTGGGAGGATGCGACGTGAGCGTTCTGCCACAGCGTCCCTTGGAGGATCACGTTTCTGACGATTCTCGCCGATCCAACAGGCCCAGCGCGGCCGCAGGGGCGGTCCGCTCCCGCACCGCGCTCTTCCGCGCCGGAGCCTCGCGGGCCGGACCGGACCGGGTCGGTCGCTCCCGCGGGCCGCGCCCCCGCCGCACGCGCGGGGATTGGCCGGCCCTGCCCGGCCGCGGCCAATCGGCGCCCGCCCGCCCCGGCACACCCCCGCGGCCCGCCGGGCCGGGCCGTACCTGGCGCTGCTCGGCGCTCAGCCCGTTCACCGTGTCGTCCACAGGCAGCCCCGCGCCGCCGCGCCGCGGCACCGCCAGCGCCCGCCAGCGCCGCGCCCCGCCCGCCGCGCGCCCCAGCACCGCCGCCGCCATGGCCGCTCCCCGCCGCAGCACCGCGCGCAGGCGCGGCCCCGCCCCGCCCCGCCTCCCGGCGCGGCCGAGCCCGAGTTCTTGCTGCACCTTTAATCGACCAAACCCACCAACACCGGACACACAACAGAGCGGCGACCCCCGACACCAGGCGAACCCTCGCTGCTGCCTCAGGCCCCCGTCCGACCCTACCCCGGGAGGAAACAGCAGGAACTAGGCTTGACAAACAGGGACCGCTGAACTAGGGGTGAAAAAGCAAAAATCCCAGTCCATCCTCGTGCCTCACATTGCCAGGATATTCCCCAGCGCTTCAAGCGCGGCTGTCCATTCCTTAATTTGAGCTTGGAAGTGGGAGTGCTTCTCCAGGGAACGCTGGTTTTCCTCTAGGACCGATTTCCACTTGGCCATCGCTGTCTGTGGAGAAGTCAGTGCACACCACATTTTACTAACACCAGAGTAAGGAACACAACAGCCACGTCCTAAAGCATCTGAGCTCTTCCTCCTATAAGTCTGGGATTTCTTTTACCTTGGTTGCTTGTGGAAAATGTAAATTCATCTATGAGCTCCTATAACAGTTATATTTTAGCCCTTGGACTTCTTATCAAGAATTGTAGAACTGTACTTTGTAATTAAACTGTAATATTTTGGCATGTATATTGGTAATAATTGAAGGCACTTGTGCTTGCACACTTCTCAGTTCTCCCGATGATTACCCAGGGTCACTGCTCTGCAACAGTTTCCAATTGAAATCAAATTATCTGACTTCCAGAACAACAACCAGGCTGAAGGATCCCTCTATTTAAATGGGGAATAACAGTTTCCTTAACAAGTGTGTTTATATTGAAAGAGGAACACTGCAGGTTTTCATCTGGTTCACCTGGAGAAAGGAGGACTAGGAGAAGAAAAATAACCTCCTTGAGAGCCTGGCGCTGCCTGGTTGAGTCAGTCTTACCTCAAGCATCTCCTTCTCTTTTGCAACTGTGTGACAATACAGCTTCAATTCTTCTGTGACCTTCTGAGTCAGCATCTGGAGAGTCAAAAGGAAAATGACTTTTAAAATGATGTAAATAAATATGAGTCTCAGCTGTTTCAGCAGCAGGAGAGAAGGATAGGGGCACACAGACCCCTCAAGGCCATTTCAAGCTTTTCTTACTGTTGTCTTTTCCCTGCAAGCACGTATCTCTTTTTCCTCCTCTATGTTTCTACCTGTAAGTAATTCAGGAGGTGCATTAGTAAACCTCTAATATATCACATTACATTGAGAACAAACAACTTTTCAAAGTAACTTTCCACAGCAAGAAATATTAAGTTAGTTTATCCAGGGCCTTCTACAGGAAACAGCTCTCTTCAGCCACAAAAAACTCCCCCAAATCCCCAAACCCCAGAATTCCAGCAATATTCCCTAAAAAAGGAAGTCCAATTTTCTTATGAATAGTTACAACAGAAGAGAAAAAAATGGAGAAGCATCCTGGAGAAGCGCCAGGATGTAAGCAAAGTGCAAAACCCCTACCAGGATTGATGTTTCTGCTTTCTATAATCATCATAGAAGTCTCCTGAATTTTCTTGAGCTTCTCAACTTCATGGACCAGCCCTTCATTCTTCTTTAACTCCCTAATAGTGCCCTGCCATTAAAACAGGCTGTAAGTGAGGCAAGTTTCCAAGGAGATTTTCTTCTCCTTAGTAGTACTGACAATAGCAAGTTCACAAGTGCTGCACTTGGCACCAAGAATTAGACCTTGCATTCTGTCTCTATTACCACAGAAAATTAAGCTGTTGCAGGTCCTTGCTCCAGCTTCTTGACAGGATTAATACATTTATTAAATCCACACATCAGACCAATTGCTAGAAAAATTGATCACAGAGGAATTCCTTTTAGGCAATTCTATCTTTGCTTGTGCTCCCTTTTTTTTAGATAAATAATGTAAACATGGAGGAGCATATAAACATTGTGAAGAAAAGGCTGTCTTACGTCTTTAAGCCACAGCATTATTCCCTACACAATCCAGATATTACCAGGCAATTGGATAAGCTGATCAACCTTCCAAGTTGAATGCAATTCTTCAAGAGGATCAATAATCATGTGGATTAGGGTGATCTGGCTGATAGTGTCAAAAGCTTTGGAAACATTTCATAGGAAGTCTCAGAGGCTCTTAAGAAAATCAAGCTGTGAGATAAGAGGAATGATTGTCCCACAGATTGAGAACTGGAAAATAAAGTGAGATTTTACAGCTGTACATTACCAGGAGGGCCTCCTGTACATGACAGAAGTAGCACTAGGCATATCCTAGAGTTATCTGGGAGAGCCAGGGAGTAATAAAGTGCCAATTCTGAATCTAAACCTGATTCCACAAGATCAGGTCTATTTGAAACAGAAGTCCCTGAACAGTCCCAGCTCTCTCAGGCTTTCCTCCAGTCCCTTAACCATCTCTGTGGCCCTTTCTTGGACTCTGTCCAGTACATCCATATCTCTTTTGTACCAGGAGCCCAGGACCAGACAAAATATTCCCAGTTTAGCCTCCCCAGAGCTGAGCAGATGGGAAAACAACTTGCAGAAGAATACAAAGACATTCTGATGAAGACAAGAAAACAAGCGAGACAATCCTTAACATGATTCTATGGATCAGAACATAGGAATTATAAAATGAAGATCTATTTATCTTTCTCTCCTATCCTTACCTCTGCTCTTGCTAGCTGTTTCTTGAGTGTTTCTACCAACTGATCCTTCTTTTTCAGCTCTGCTTCTAGTTGGTGTCTGCCGAGAGGGCTGTGGAGTTAACGGGCAAAGACTCAGGGGAAAAAATACCAGTGTTGCACACCTCCTAGTTTCACAACTATGCCCTTTTTTAAGTGTTTGCTTTTGTTTCTAACCAACAGATTTAACTAGAAAACTTGGCAGGAAAGCTGCACATAGGTGAGAGCTTGTGCTATATAAGAAATGGCAAATGCATTACACAGACTCTCTTGCTGGGTTGCACAAGAGAGCAAGTTTTATTATTCCAGATCTTTTATCAGCAGGTCCAAGAAGGTCCAAGAGGTAAAACTCTCACTGGTCATTAGACCAACACACAACCATCATTGGACAATTGGGAACACTGCCTCTTGACTGTCTCTTGCAAGTAAGCAACAAGGATCCAAACAACACCTGCAAAGGTTGTTTTCCTTCTTCCAAGGACTCTTTTGATTCCTCCTTATGATTTTCCAAGCCACTCTTCTCAGGCCAGTCTGAGAAAGTTATGTGACTTGGCTTCACACAGGCTCAAGCTAACGCCTGAAGCCTAAAATCTCTTATTTGACCATTGGCAGTTCCCACAGAGAGCTCATTGCAGCCCTCCACAGGGGAATACCACAGCACAAGGACAGCTAACAGATGGGAGGGACATACCGCCTTGCCACTGTCTTCCTTGGAACTGGTTCCACTCTCTTGTCAGACTTAGGCAACCTTAAAAGAGAGATAAAATACAATTACCAGAAGACTACTGTGTTCCTGCAGATCACCAAGCCTGTTAGTTTGACAAAAGGTGCAAAATGAGGCATCTTTAGGACATCTACCAATTAAATCCGTTGATATTTTGCTTTGATTTACCCTTGGTTTGCAGCCTTGAAGACACTGTCCACTGTAACGTTTGAGACAAGCTGAAGACTGGGAACCCCGCTGAACTTTGGATCTGATGTTTTGCTGGCACATTTTCTCTTTGAAGGAAAAGCCACTTGCAATTCTGTGAGAAAAAGACAACTGTGAAAACACCTCAGCCTAGAAGTAACCTCCTTTAAGGTCTCTTAAGCCTTTAATTTGAGGTAAAGCAGTTATATCTGGATAAAATGGAGACTTTAAGGTAGAAGTAACGAAGAGCAGTCCTCAAGTTTTACCCAGGATCAAGTGTCCAGAATAAGCCACAAATAGGTCAGATGTGGACAGCGTTAAAATACAATTACCAGGCTAGCACTAATGAGAGTCTGAAATGATAATATACAATAAAGAAGGTCTCAGCATCAAGCAGACATCATGCCACAAGGTTGTTGTTCAATACTGGAAGCAAAACAAACATATGCCACATGAAACTCTGTTAAGAGACCTCCATATTTTGCTATGAGCAAATAGCTACGAAAAAAACCATAGAAAACTAGCTTTTTATGTGGAGTTTATTTCTCTCAAATCACAATTGTTTGAGTATATAAAGCTTTGTTCACTTAGTGGGCTTAGGAAGTTGCTTTTTCTTCCTCAAGTTAAATATTTTTCAAATGACACACCCATGAGCACATTTACATTAGAGCAATGCAGAGCTTCCACCGATTTAGCCCAGCTTCCATGTTTTGAACGCTAATCCTGGGTGCTTCCCGCTTATAAAATGCTATAAAGTGCTGTAAGCGGCATTAAAATATTTAGAAAATTAAAGAGCCTGTGAATGAAGCATCTTTCACATCAATGGGCCGCTGCCTTCAGCCGGTGGAGGGTACACACAGCAGGCTGAGCGTTAACCTAAATCCTAAATAGGGAAAAAAGGTGGAATAAAGCTTCTAATTAGATTCTGGAACAGCCTTCACGTAGCCAGGCAGAGATGGAGCTCCTTAACGCCAGCTCTCCGCTGCACCTCTCGGCCGAACCCCTCCAGCTGTGCCCCTGGGCGTCCCTCCGTGCCCCGCACTCACCTGCGGACGGCTCGGGGCGGCAGAACCGGGAGTGCACGGGGATGCGGGAGCACCGTCCGTCCATGGCGGCCGCGCTCCCCTCAGCAGTTCAAACCGGACTGCGCGGGGACGGTTGGGCGGGTCTGCGCGTGCGCGGGGCGGGGCGGCGCGCGCCAGTGGGGATTGAGGGCGTGGGCGCTCGCGGGCCCCCTTTTTCGCGCCTTTTCTGCTCCGCACCGTTTTCTGCCTCGCGCCCGCTCCCTCAGGGAAGGCGTTGGTCGCCATTAGGGCCCAGGTGCGAGGTTCCTTCCTTCCCTTCCTCCCTCCCTTCCTCCCTCCGTCCCTTCCTCTCTCCCTTCCTCTCTCCCTTCCTCTCTCCCTTCCTCTCTCCCTTCCTTCCCTTCCCTTCCTTCCCTCCTCTCCCCTCCCTCCCATTTGGGCACTCGAGGCCCAAAGATCAAAGGGTTTGTGGCCGTCTATGCAGTCGTGTAGGACACAAAAGCTGTCAGGGCGCTGGTGCTGCTGGTGTGTGAGGTACTAAAATTGCCTACTAAATGCCTCATCAAATGAGGCATCTGTATAAAGCGTTTCCCAGCTTAAAGACATTTTTGCCCTGCTTGCTACTATGGTTATCTTGATGGCTGGGCAATCTCTCCCGATAGCAATGGGGAGCATCTCCTTGAGGAGGATGCTGCAGTTCCAGCCTGAGGATGGCTTTGGCTGCCTAAATACCCTCCTGAACACTAACCATGACAGTTTCAGGATAAAACCCTGAAACTGAAACATGAAATAAATACAGAATCACACATCTGACATACCTGACATATTTCAAACTCTGGTATTAGCTTTAAAAGTCCATGTCCCTAATGGATATCAGGGAGTTGCTGTCTCTCTCTCACAGTGCAGGGACAACTCATGGATATCAGAAGAGTAAGTATTTTAAAGATGTATACTTCCCTTTGGAAAATGTATTAGGCACTTAAAAGATGAATAACCACAGTGCTCTTGGTGAAAATGAAGCATCACATAGATTTTAGGAAAGGTTGTTAACAAGCATTTATTGTACATCAACTTGTAGCTAGAATGTTTTATTTTTTCAACAAATCAGGGCAAATAAATGTTTGTTTTCCTGTTTGTTTCTGGTAGAGGGGGAAAAAACCCCTAAAATTCAACAGATATGTGAATTTTAAAAAGTTACATATTTGAGGGGAATGCCTTGAGTGGAAACATACTGTAAAGAGAACACAAGGCACCTGAGTCCAGCGGGGACGAGGACTCTTTTCTTAAGGGGGAAATTCACACTGAAAATCTTTGGCAGTATTAGAATTCCTTCAGATAAAACAAACTGAAATTGTTACTGGAAATAGATTTGTGCCAGATTCTGCAGACTCTTCCATGGTCAGGAAGAGGCTGTGTCAACTCAGAAGTCTTGACAGGACTTTTTATAATATCTGAGCTATTTTGGTGGGGTCTGTGGATGTGGGCTTTGCATAAAGTAGAAAATTAAATACTTTAATTTTTATTATTCACAATACACTTCACTTGATACCTAGATTTTTAGTAGCTTAGTTTTGGATTTTTTTTAATTTTTTTTATTTTTTTTTTTTACATGAGCACTCTGTCATTAAATACCTGGGGAGCTTCACCTCATTATTTCTTTCAAGCAAACAAAACCTAATCACCTTGTAGGAAATGATAAACCAGGTTTACTCGGTAAGTCCTGTGAACAGCTGTGAACATGGCACCAGATACTGGAAGTCAAGGGGCTTGTAGTCCATCACGATGGCTCCCACGTCCTCTCACTGGCATCAGATCTGCTGATTCCTGTAAAAACACGTTTTGCACAGCTGAAATATTAAGAAATAGTCTCAGTCTCAGCTCTAGGCGAAGTGGGAGGAAAAAATTGATATTTACAGCTCTAAGGACATTCAGACTTCCCTTTTCCCTAGCAGCAGCTTTGCTTTCTGCAAGGTCTCAGCTGTTGTAACCAGAACTTTGTGCACTGGATCGTTTGATCCAAACATCAGGCATGTCTGGCTGGCTGTTGGGCAGCACGACCGGCCCTTCGTTCCCCAATCCAAACCGATTTTTCCATGAAGAGCTGTTCTGCTGTGATGCAGCTGGAGAGACATCAAAGACAGTCTCCCTCAGGTCCAGCCTCAGGGTATCTCTCTTCCCGTTCAGGTAACCTCGCTCCGCGTTACCGTAGGAGTCAGACAGCTCTAAGGCATCGGGACAGGAACTGGCTGATTCAGCGAGCTTCAGGCCTTGCTCAAAATCACTGATTGATGTCTCGCTGGAGATGTTGAGCATATCGAAAGAGCTGCCAAGAGAACAAAGGCATCTGTGAATTTTGTAGATGTCAGCAGCAGGGAGAGGGCTGTGGTCTGAGGTATAATCTGACTGCTGCTGGGCAGTGTCACTGGAGCACTGGGATTTATTGAGCTGCCCTTCTTCTTTCATGCCAGCTGGCTGGATGTGGTCCAGCCCAGATCCATCCCATGCTTTCAGACCATACTTTCGACAGTGACAATCTCGGCAGAGTCTCTCCCTGTGAATTTCTGTTTCTGAGGTGCTGTGCTTGTAAGGAGAGGAAGTTTGCAAGGCGGGACACTGGCACAGGCTGACCTGCTGGTCTCCGAGGGCATCCTGCAGGCTCTGTCTCTCTCTTTCCAGGGAGGGGTGCATTCCCACGCGAGGGCATCTGCTGTCTTCAACTTGTATGTCTTCAGAGAGCACAGAGGGCCGGTTGGACAGCTTGCTTGTGGAAGTGCTGTTGTCAAAACTGTCGCTGAGTTTCCTGGACAAGGGCTGCAGCTCGTATTGCTCGTTTGCAGTGTTGGACTCCTGGACCTTCCGCAACCGGTTTTGCTTCTCGCTGCCCCCACAGGCAAAGTTTCCATTTGGCCCAGAGTCATCAGAATAGTCTTTCATGGTGTGGGCACAAGGCCAAAGGATCTGCCCGCAATTCTTCTCTGGGCCAAAGAAACAGCAGAGCGACTGGAAGAAGAGGCTGGCAAACCCACAGCTGATACAATTGATCATCATGATGAATATCCCCAGCTTCCTGTACGCCAGGACCGTGGCAGGCAACATAATGACCCCTGCAGAGAAGAGAGCAGAAGCTGCCATGGCTGTGGCACAGCTCATCTGCTTCAGGGAAAAGGCCACTCGGCTCAGGCGGTCAGAATGGGGGCACAGGTGATAGGAGATGCAGTAGTTGACAGTGAAGTCAACAGAGAGACCTACTGCAGCTGAAATGAAGAGAGACTCCACTGCATTTAGCTGCCACTCCAAGAGGACCAAAAGGCCAACGGTTACCAGGACGGTGCCTGCAATGGCAGTAACTGAGAAAACACTAAGGAGAACATTCCAGGTCGTGAGCAGCAGCACCACGAAGGAAATGGCTATGGAGAGCCCCATGACCACCATGGTTTCTGTGCTGAGACTGTGCTGGAGGTTGTACAGCTCTAGTTTACTGGTAAACCATCCGTTCTGAAGCCCCATGGGGGCAGTTTTCATTTCCTCTGTTATCCAGAGGCTGATTTCCTCATAGAATTGTTTGGCTCTGCTGTAGTTGAAGGTATAGTGATAAATAGTTTGAAACTGCAGCACTAAGGCAGCGACATTTCCCTCCCCATCAAACCTGAGGCCCAGATCGTACATTTCTGCCCCTTCCCTGCCCTCTTCCAGGAGCATCATTTTGATGCAGTGCAGGAAGACTTCGCTTCTGTAAGGGAAGGAGAACTGGTTACAGCAAAGGTTGAAGCTGTGGTCTCGCTGGGAGCACTGGCGACTGTCCATCCACCTGAGGAACTCCTCCATGAAGCACACAGTAGATTTCTGTTCTGCATCAGGATAATAAAAAGTTTTGTTCTTCACTTTTTGGCAGAATTCAAGGAGCCACTTCTGGGCATCAGGGTTTTGGATGGTGAAGGTGGTGTCTGTCACTAGGGTGCCGTTGCTTTTTGGATTGAAATGGTCCCCATTATCCACGGGCAGAATGCCCCAGACTATGGTGACAGGCATACGCTGGCCTTCTCCACGCTCCAGCCTCTCAAACATGAACTGGTGGCAGTACTCGGAATCGTACCTCTCAAAGGGGTGGCTCAGCCTGAACACTTGGACAGATGATGTCTCCAGAGTTGGGAGTTTGAGTTTGGGGTTGGAACAGGAAATGTAGGCACCTCCTATGGCTAGGGCAGCAAACCAGCAGATCCAGATGTACCGAAACTTGATGACTCCACAAGGCAGAAGCTTTTCAAAGAGCAGCTTGGAGGTTTCAGACAGTGTGTTCTGGAGAGCCCGGAGGACGTAATGAATGGAGAGAGCGACTCTCTTGTGGCTGCTGTTGTTCCAGTAGGCTTCTGGCTTGTAGACGCAGGTCGTTGCGATGTAGCGCTCGTACAGCACGGCCGAAGAGGGCAGCCAGGTCATCATGAAAACCAGGTTCACCAGCACCGAGGTGCCCATGTAGACAGCGAAGCAGCGGATGGCTGTGATGTTGCTGATGTAGCTCGCGTAGAAGGCAGCACCGGTTGTGAAGCACGAGGCCAGCATGAGATAGGCAAAATGGTGCATGGTTTGACTCACCCACTGAGCAAGCCCGGCAGAAGGGTTCTGGCTCTTGCTGAGGTTCCACAGGTCGAAGAAGACGAAAGTGTGGTTGGCACAAATGCTGCTGAGAACAATGACTGCTGTCAGGTTGACAAAAGGGAAATAGGTGAATCTGAAGGCCACCTTGTACAAGAAGTAGGAGATCATCAAAGAGCTGACAACAGCGAGCAGGACCATCAAGGTAATAAACAGTGAACGTAAATAAAAAGAAATGCTTAGAAAAATAGCTAATATTGCCAGGACTGGATACTTAGTATCCAGTAAAAGGTAGTGGTGGAATAACTTCTGTTTAAGGCCCAAGTCCATTCCAGTGATAGATGTGTAGTTATCAAACAGATCCCAGGTTTCAAGGTTGTCTAAGTAGATCCCCATCATAGATGCACCTTTTCTTGTAGGCAGGAAAAGCAGGCTGTATTTGAGAGAGGGCACTTGGTACTCCATTGTCTGGGGACTGAGAAAGTCCCTGTCGACCAAGAAGTGAAGCAGCTGGTA